ATTTTTTTTGTTTTTATGTCAGAGTGACGAAAGGCGCGCGGAAGCCAGACTACCCGCTTTTGGCTCTATTTTCAGGGCTCTGTAAAAATTATAAATAATCGAGATACAGTTTCGGGAGTCGGGACTTTTTTTACGCAATTTCATTGATCTTTTCAAATCTTTTTTCAAATTTCCAAAATTTTCCGAGATATTAAGAAAAAACCAAAGCCCCATTTTTTTTCACTTAATTGTTTATAACTTTTGTAATTTTTATCGGCGCGTTTTCGGACCTTTCCTTAAACTTTCTAGGCAAAAATACGAATCGAATGACACCTTGGTCGTAATTTTTGGACAGGGCTGAAAAATGTTACAGAAAAAAGTACATATGAACTAGACCCATAGAAAATTATGTACTCTATACATTGATAAGGGTTCCCAAATTGTGATGATAAGAAAAAGGGACGTATTTTGCTCAAGTCTATGGTACCGGAGGTACAAATGCCATAGTGGCCTATTTAACATATATTTCTTGGGTTTTAAAGGTTTTGTAAAATTTTATTTTTGTGAAAGATGAAATATTCATTTGAAATTTATATCAATTAACACAGTTTCTTGAATTATCCATCGTCGTATACATCGTCTAAGGATAACCTATCAACAAGCTTCAACTGCTCAACGATAGAGGTGAAGTCATTGAATTGAAGCCCCCAATACAAGCTATTTGGGATCCGCTTCTCGTACAAGATATAGATGGCATTAGACAAAGTGGGCAACGAAGGCGATCTGAAATAGCAGAAATCATTCTTGCTTTTACTTAAGGTAAGTAAAAGTCGAACAAAACAACGCATTTATAATTTTTATCGTTAATATTTTTGTTATAACTTTTACTTAGCAATAATTCACAAAAATATTTAAATATTACATATCAATGTGAATTTTTCCGTTTGTATCGTCAACGATATCATTAATATTTGAAGTAAATTGTTCACTTGGATTAACCTCCCTCTTCAGTTTTTGCTCCTTCATTTCCCAAACTATCAGTTGTATCAGCAAAACTAGCCTTTGTAGTTCGGTATTTGAAAGTTGTTTAGTATCGTGGTTTCTTTTTTTTACGTGGATTTATTTCACTAGCAGTATCCTCATTTGTGGTACACGTTCTAGAAACAAAATGCCTGCGAATTTTAGCTTCATGACTGTGCCTGCTATTGTGTCTGTTTGTTCTGTACCGACAGACAATGCTCCTAACATGAAATTGTAAAATAACTTTGACAGAAATATATTTTTTGGTTCTAGATTGAATATAGCTTGGCTGCCTCATTTATATTTTCATTTATAAATATTACATCACCTGGAATCTTTGTAAGTACTGGATTTGTATCGCCTTCCATGATTTCCAATAAAAATTTTTCCCAATCCTGCAGAACAATTCCATATTATTATTTTTTTTTGTAGATTTGACTTGTTATTTGTGAACCAAAATTAAGCTCCCATTGTTTTCTTATCGCGTCAAGTGCTTTTGACTTCAATAGTCGGACAGCTGGTGTTTATGACTTTGACAAAAGTACAGGAAATTCACGAAACATATCCACAAATCCCATTTGGGATTCGCATCCCTTATAACTTTCGTCTTCACTGCTTTCACTCATCGTAGCAACAAGACAACGCGCTAATTAATTGCTCAAATAAAAGACAATGCGAAAATATGCCGATTCCCTGCTATTTCCTAAACAGGCTTTGACAAGTTTATAGAAATAAATGAAATAGCGAGTATTTACTCTTATGTACTGTGAGCAGATACTCATCACATCGAAATATTTTTATT